TTTTTTTAATTGGGGATTGTTGGTTCAGATGGCATGATTTGCTGTTTGGTCAGGGCTAAATTACAAATAGTCAGAGAAAGTGTGTGCCTAGGTTATTAACAAAGAAAGGAAGATACCAAAAAATTAGAATATTTGGAAAACAACTGTTTGATTTTTGATATTTCAGAGAAGTGTGGAAGCATTTGTCCAGAGAAAATATCAGAAAGTTGTTAGACTGATGTACACTTATTTTGTGACTTAGTATCATTTTTATTTTTAAGAAAGTATAGGTGGCAAGATGCTTAGGACATATAGGTAAGAGGTGATATAACTTTTTTCAAGATACAGGACTAAGAAGAATCATAATTTAGTCCTAAGCACAGAAAACTTCTATGTCATTAAAAATAAAACAATACTTAGCCATAAAGTAAGTGCCTATCAGTCCAACAAAGTTCTGATTTCCACCCAGACAAATGCTTGCTTCTATGTTTTTCCTTTTCTTTTCTTTTTTTTTTTGAGACATATTCTCACTCTATCACCCCTGGTAGAGTGCAGTGGCCTCAGCCTAGCTCACAGCAACCTCAAACTCCTGGGCTCAAGCAATCCTCCTAGCTCAAGCAATCCTCCTGCCTCAGCCTCCAAAGTAGCTGGGACTACAGGTGCACACCACCACATCTGGCTAATTTTTTCTATTTTTGATAGAGACAGACTTGCTCCTGCTCAAGCTGGTCTCAATTTCTGGCCTCAAGCGATCCTCCCACTTTGGCCTGCCAGAGTGCTAGGATTATAGATGTGAGCAACCGTGCCTGGCCCACTTCTTTGCTTTTCTGAAATATCAAGAAGCCCATATTTTCTCCAAACTATTTTTATATGTGAGCCATTTTTGGGGGCTGGTAACCTAAGCAGATAGTTAATTTATTTGGCAATTCAATATGGCCAAAACCCAAATCATGGTACCTGAAACATTCAAATAAAAATCCGAATAAAAATGAGTGAGCCACACAATGCAGATTTACTATTAATATTTTTGATATTCTAAAATTCAAATTAGCAAGGTCATTTGTTACCTTTCCTAATACACTTGGGCTCATGAGACTTGATATCCAGCCCATGGTAGCCCATTTACCAAACACAAATTTGGAAAAGTCTAACCTCCCTGAATCTGTTTACATTTATTTAAAATAATGATAATACCAGCTTTACAGATATGATAAAATGAAAAATAAAGAATGGAAAATGACTTTGAGAACTATAAAAGATCATATTAATGTAAGGTGTAATGATGGTCCTAATTACAACTATATTGTTTTCAACATTAACTATTTCACATGTTTATATCTTATATCCTCCAAGGAAATTTTTTGTTGCTAGCCTATGCAAATTATTGTAGTCTATAAGAGATCTATAAATAATTATTAGCCAATTGATTAATTCATACTATTTGAAAGCATATTTTCACTTGATAGAATAATAGTGGGATATGTAAACAGAGGGAATTGTAACTGACCTCTCAGAGTAACAACCAAGTATAAACCAAATTTATTAATATTTATTTCAGTCAAAGCCGATTGTTGAGTTATTTATGTTGAAACTAACACGATAAATTTGCTTTTATTTTAGACTCCAATCATGAGAAACAAAGGTTATATGAACTGATGAGGAAAGCAGAAAACAGTTTTACTTTCCACATACTGCCTAAAAGTCATCTTGAAGGAGACTTGTAGCAGGTACATAAAATCGAAACATGTTCTGAGGTCACTTGAAAAAAGAAACATTGTATCACAAAGCAAGAAATTAAGCAATGTGTGTTTTAATGAAAACAAGTTTTACCAAAGGCTTGCATACCAGTCAGAATATTTAACTTTTATATTCCAACAAGAATGGCATTTCCAAGATAGTATTTGAGTAAAGGGTAATTAATAAATTAGTGTGTTAAATGGCACACTTAAACACTAACTTGTATATACCTTTGATATAATTTGGTTTTCTCTGACATCATCTGGATGGCTCTTGAGTTATTTTTGTATCTAAACACCACTAAATAACATATTACATTTTTCAAAATTAACCATAGAACGAGGAATAATTTTAATGTAAGGATTTGACATTACACTCCATAAAGTTTCTGAGAAAGATGAGCTCTTATGAACGAGCCAATGTTTAGTTCTTGGCATTCTGGCAGGATTACATATAAATTTCTCCAGGAAGATGATCAAAGGATTTCTTTTAAAATATTCAGATACTATAAGTTAGAAGCTCATTACAAAATGGAGACTTACTGTCATAGGTCTAGAAGTGCCTGACCTTAAACAACTAATATACACTCTTAAATAAATGATTTATGCTAGAAAAAGCCAGAGAAGTTCTTGAGAAGAAATCTAGTCTATCCCAGACAAAAGCATATTTAGGTCATATTTTTGGAGGTTTTGATGAGAGAAGAGTGCACTGCCTTATCTGATTACCCAGTTAACTACTCGCACTTGCTCTAAGGAACTTCCACATTTTTATATTTCTAATCTTCATTCTTCCTAATGAAGTTGAAGCCCATTGACTATGTTTTAGGTTTCAAAAAATACCAATAAGAAATGCCATATGTAAAACTCTCAGCTTATCTGAAACAAATGACTGTCATTTCTCAGTTTTCTCTTCTCCAAATGAAGTAATCAGAGTTTTCTTTATCTTTCCTCACAGAGTTCAACCTATAGTTCTCCTTTAAATATATTTCACTTTTTTGTGGCCCATTAGCAAAAGCCATATAATCACCTTAAGTTTTAGGGTCAAAAACTAGACCTGTATCTCCATCAAGGTTTGGCCATACAGTGGAAACAGATTGTCTACAGGGAGATCTAAGCCCATGGCCTACAGGGGCTTGTCTCTATTTAAACTGTACCAACTTTACCTATAAAACCACATCCAAATGACAATTCAACAATGGGAAAGATAAAAACATTGCATGAAACAGGATAAATACTACATATCTTAATTTTTTAAAGTTTACTGTAGATATACTTCAAAGTTTAATATTTGGAAGTCAAAAGTTATTATTAAAAGATTCAGGACACAGCGTGTTATGATATTTTTACATGATATGCAAACTCGGTATGTCTGTCCTTGCCCTACTTATGTAGTTGTTATAATTAAGCACATTAGTTTACAGAGTTCTGAATCTATATCATATATGACATGCTATGAGCACACTAAATTAAGTCACTAAGAAGCCTTCTAATGTATAAACCAAGTAAACAATTATTCTCAGAGAAATTAACTATAAACCAGATTGTAATAAATGTAAAAATTGTAAATGAATGGGAGTATGTATTAAATAAAAGAAAATGCAAGATTAAAGCAAAAAAACCCCCATTATTTTACATTGTAAAAAATATCTGTACTGACAATGATATTGTTAGAGAAAAGATTGATGGATAAAATGATGAATGCAATATTTCTAATACACTTTTACCTGCAAGGATTTTTCTGCCTTTTATTCAATAAAATCCATTATCCTGGGTGGTAATGGAGCCACGCACCCTACTCATCTCAGGCGTCTTTAGTCTCCTGATCTGCCTTAAAGCCTTGACATAATAAAAGGTCAAGCAGATCACAGTAAGCATTTGTAAACTACAATAGCCCCCCATTTCAGCTATAAGCCACATGTCCTCCTGCTAAGCTTTGCTCACTCTCTTATTTCATTTCAATGTATAAGCAGACTAATTTGGAAATGGCTAGGCTATGGTACTTGGGAACACCTAAATTTTCAAAACAATTCTCCTTTCCTACTTAATCACTTAACAGAAGCAGACCCATAATACAACATTTGAGAGAACCGTAAAATGGTGCCTGGATACTGAAGGAATGAACAGCAGATAGCAGCACTATTAAATAAAATGAATTCATTTCACCTTCCAGCTCAGCTGTGCTTCCTGAGACACAAGGCACAAACATGAAAAGGTTGGGGTGGAATTTCAAGAAAACTGGTTTGTTTCAACATTCATTTGGCAAGATGTTGGACATAAAATAATACCACAAGCCACCTCCCTTTCTCATCATTGTAAATTCAGGGCCCTCAATATCACTTGCCACAAACCCTATTAAAAATAAAGAAAAGAGGCAGGCTCTGAATTCGCATCTAGTTCTATGATACAGATCAGGCATATGTCCTAATCGATCACAATGAAACTAAGAGACGATAACAAGAATAAATCTCAGATTAATCCAAATGAAGCCAATGAATAATAATGCAAACCAGAAGCATAGTTTCAAACATATGCATTACTTCCAAGCATGCAAGGACATTTATAACCCATGAAAATGATTGCTTGGCGCACTCTACATATTAACATGCTTCATAAATGCAACATAAATGCTAAGTAACATGTGCATACATGATATGTATATCCATAAGTTATATATATGTATGTGCACAATAAAGTCTTCATCCTAAAAATGAAACTCTGGATCCATCAAATGGTTTATCAACAAGAGTACATTAGAATATAAAATAGAATGCTCAATTCTGTGGCCACTTTTTCTTTGCAATGAAGAAAATAAGCAAAAGCACCTTCTAATGAGTCCGAGAAGCTTATGAGACACCAAATGTGTTTTTAAGAAGGCCCAACCCTATACGTGAGAGCTGCAAATGAAAAGACTCCTTTCAATAACACCCCCTTCTTGTTGTTAGCTCCTTTCCCACCCCCTGATTCTGTTGCTGAGCTTGGGAGGAAAGGCACCAAGTGGCCCAGTCTGCATTCTGAGCCAGTTCGAGATAAAATCAGAACACCATTTAAAGAAGAAGAAGAAGAAGAAAAAAAAAAAACCAAACAAACAAAACACAATTGGCTACATTCTCACTTCTGTCTTCCTGGCAACCTTCCTCTCCCTCCATCCCCATTTCTGTCTCCATCACCCCTCCACCCCAGTCTGAGGGACCGGAGTCATTGTTCAAGTGCAGGCCACAAATGTATACACAGGTCATCTAATAACGTGCTAAAACCGCGAAGGCAGCCCCCCTGGCCCCTACTCACCATGCTGAGACCCGGAGAAGCTGTTTAAAGGAGACAGAGATGCAAACTGAATCCATTTTCCTTGTGACCAAGTCGGATGCAGCCTCCGAAGCCAACATCAGCAGCGGCTGCTGGGATTTTTTCCCCCTCCTTCTCTGGTTGGCGACGGTGCGAATAGGAACCACCCTTCCAGCGCCACTAGAGTATCAGCAGTCGAGGCGGCGGCGGCGGCCACAGCAGCAGCATCACCACTTGGGCCTCCTCCCTTTCGGAGGATGGGGTGAGCTCGGAAGCAGCCAGGAACTTGCAGCAGACGCCTCCTCTGGCTCCTCCTCTCCCTCTTCCTCCCCCTCGGCCCCACCCCTGCTGCGGTAGAGCCTGCCGGCCCGGCAGCTGCTGGTTGTCATGGCAATGGCCAATGGTAAGCGACCAGGCTAAGGGGGAGGGGAGATGGGCGAAGCCAGCCGCAGGGGCTGGAGGGGAGCGCGTTTGTGCTGCTGTCCTCCGGGATGCTTTTGGTCTCTCCTGCGCTGGACTCCGGGTCTTTGAAAATGGGGCGAGGGTCCATAGGCCCAGGAAAAGAATAGTTAAAATCTGATTGAAATGTAGATCGAAACATATGAAATGGCTTAGCTATTTTCGCATGTTCTATGGTTTTCCAATAAAATGCATTAAATTAGCGATCAGAAAAGGATAATATCAAATGTGGAGGAAATTGTAGTAGGTCATTATTACTCCAAGTGTGTTTGTCCCTCTATTATAGCCTCTTTTGCTCAGTGCCAGTCGAGGTTGTTAAAAAGCAAAGTGAGTGGCTGCACTTTGCAATAAAATGAGAGTCTGTTTGATTCCTTTGCACTATTTCCGGTTCTCAGGTGAGCTACATGGTTTCACTGGTTTTCCAGCTCCCTCCCCGAAGAGGATCTGGAGGCATTTGACACTTCCCTAAGGAAAAGGAAGTTAGTGTAGAGGAAATGTAAATTCCTTTGAACATCTATGGTTCTTAGTAGCACCAGTTGGGGGACAGTTCCAGATCTTCTTAGTGTCAAACGCCTGGAGTGTTCAATTTCCTGCAGGCAATTCCATGCCATTTTCATGGAGTCCCAAAGTCAGCTGGCTGTCAGGGTGGTAGGTAGGAAAAAGGGAAGTGAAATCTGCAGTGTGGAGTTCTAGGAAAGTTCTAACTATAAATTATAGATGACACTAGTATTTATCTCATGTAGTGGTTGTAAAGATCGAATGATATAATGCACTAAAAGCACTTGACGTTTGGTAAGTGTACAATAAATATTTACTATTATTACTATTATTAGTACTATAGCAGTACATTGTAGCCACCTCTTAAACTAAGAGGTTAAGTAAACAACATGGCAATTTCAGTTTCAAGGTAGAAAATATTAAGGTGAGAAAACACTAACTAATTGATAGCAGTGATGATGATGATGGTAGTGGTGGTGGTGGTGGTGATGGCAAAGACTTGGAGGCCCTAAGGCATTAAATGTCCTCCAAAACCTGACAGTTGAGGAGAGTGTAAATCTTAGAGGAGTTAGATAAACTTCCTAAATTCACATGACTAACAAACAGCAGTGCCAGAATTAAAACTGACTCTTCTCACCCTAACATTTGCTCTTCTAACCTCTATACTTTTCTGCCACTCCTCCATGGAATGGAGACAATCTTTGTTCTTAACTCAGACTTATTTATAAATTCAAATGGGATTAATACAGGTTTCAGAGTCAGACTGTCTAGGTTCCATTTCTGGTGCCAATATTTAATGTAGGTATAATTTGAGACACATTAATTGACTTCCCTGAACCTATGTCTCCTCATCTGTAAAATGGAAATAATCATAGAATCTCATGGGCCATAAGAATTAAATGGGATGATGTATGTAAAGCATTAGCACAATGTCTAGCCCATAATAACTGTTCAACCCATGTTAGTTATAATTATTTGTTACTCACTTGTGAGTAATTAATGTTAAAACGTGAGAAGATGTTTCCCTGCATGGAATCACTCTTGATGCCGGGAACTTATTCTAACGCAACTATACTTGAAGATAACTATGTGGTCTAGGAAAGAGTTCTCCAAGGGAAAGCTCACACCTTGCTTTGTGGAGCTAACGGCCCCTGCCTCCCACCAGAGCCTCAGCAGTAGCCCATGCAGCCTGCACACGCTTCCACGTCCGCATGATACAGTGCAGTTGTGTGACAGGAAGGGATGGGTGGTGATCATCTAGCTTCCTTTTGTATTCTGCTTTGTCCACAGGGATGGCCTTGGAAGTAGACAGAGAAGGAAGCTGCAGGCTGTAGAAGCCCAGACCCCGAAGTGACAGGACCTTCCCAGCTGGCCTCGTGACAGCATTTCGTCGTGAACAAGAAGAGCTGACTTGGTTGAGGTGATGCTATTAATAGATTTCCCTCTCCTGCCACCAACACAAACACAGGAGTCACTGCTCAGGGGTCAGCTAGGGGAGAGACAAATCTGATGTTTCCTACTTGAACAGTTCCCCAAGGTAACCATTCAGATACTACTTTCCTGTTTTTGGCCACATCTGTGTAGCACTGTTATCATTATTTAATAATGGTTTTCTTTAAGTATTCATTTTAATGATTTATGATTTACTTGATTTGTCATGTATTTGTTTTAAAATGAAATTTGTCTCTGGCTTCAGCAAAACATAAATAAAAATTGACATAGTCAAGGGAGTGGCCCCAAAGAAAGGAACTGAAAACAATTTCTTAATTGTTTTAGTAAAACAGAGACTTCAACTTCATTTATAATAATTTTCAGTTAAAAAAGAAAATTTAAAATTTCATACCTATTACCATTCCCTCTCTTTCCATGCCCTATTTTTCTATATACTATAATAATTAATATTAATAATACACTATATAATGTAGTATGTTATAATATATATAGCATAATATAATTTGATACAGTATACTATATTATAATATCAATAACATACTATATTATTTATTTGGGCTTTTAAATATTTTGTTATTTGTCTCCCCCCCTTAGAATGAAAGCTATGAAAGGGCAGGGATTTTTGTTTATTTGTTTGTATGTGACCAGTGTCTGGGCCATATCAGGTCCTCAGTAAATATTTGTTGATGAAGAAGCCAGCTAATAAATAACAACTCTTTTCATTGAATCATGGCTCTATAAATTATTGTAATATTATCTGTTCACATATTCAGGCAGTCCCCAGGTTATAGATAAGATACATTCCTGAGAACATCTTTGGGTCTGATTTGTATGTAACTCAGATCCCTGATGAACAGCACATACATGGTAATAATAATAATAAAAACAATAATACTCTAATGGCTCATATATGGTAATAATAATACATTGTAATACTGTAATAATAATAATGCCCCTGTACTGTAATAATAAGTTACAAATCTATTATGCTCTTGTTTTTAATTCAAATAAACAGAACATAAAAACGAACTCATACAAAAAGTTTAGATAGGAGATAGGAGAAATTTCAAAAAAAGAATATTAAAGGTTAACATTCACCTAATGTTGCATCAATATCTTGCTTAATGGAAGGGACATTTTTGAGGCGAGAAGCTAGGCTGACATGAATTGGAAGGTGATGACGGAGATGGTGCTGGAGAGGATGGAGTGGGGACTGGAGAATCAGGATGTGATCCTGTTGCTGCAGGGGGGAGCTGACCACTGTAGTCAGTTTCTTAAAAAAGCTATCTAGGGATGTTTGCACAGCATTTTTCTTTTTTTCATCATAAATAACCTTGGAGCAGCTGATGGTCTCACTAATTGCACAGTAAAGCTTTGTAAATGCCTTATTGTTAGGATCTTGCTCCTCAAGCTTAGCAAATCCCACTTCAATGAGACAAAAGTCTTCAGCTAATTCTTTTGTCGTAAACTTTCTTGACTCTGTATCTATGAGACTAGCCACTAGTGTAAGATGATGCACCAATGAACCGCTTACACCGTGTGGGTTCGTTTACATCTGCAGAAGAAACTAGTTCTCGAATTATTAATTTTATTATTTAATTATAAATTATTCTTATGGGGAGCCTTGAGAGCCCATTCATAAGTATAGAACATCGTAAGTTGTGTTGTCCATACCCAGGAACTGCCTGCATATTGTTGATATTTCTCATAATTAAATGCTAAGATAATTATACTAATTAACTTATTTAGCATGCATGCATATTAGCATAATACTTATCTGACACAGATTTTGCAAATACAAAGCTATTAAAGTAAAAAAGTTTGTCCATGTATGTTCAGAGTCATCTAGCATATCCTCAGTGGCATGCATGATGTTTTTTGGGAAACACTGATTTCCTTCTAAGAGCTTCTGGTCCAATAGTACTAATGGTGACCAAACTGTCTGCCTCTCCTGGGACCTTTCCAACTTTGACTTCTGAATTCTGTGAGATGTCAGAAAAAGTAGGGCTTGGGTCTTGGCTCCAAAAGCCACATTAAAATTTCAGGAGATACCACAGCATAATGGGAGGAAGTTGCAAAGTGTGGACTCTGGAGACAGACTGCCTGGATTGAGTCCAGGCTTCATTTGTTTTCTCAGTGACCTTGGGCAAGTTGCTTGATTTCGCTCTGCCTCAGTTTCTTTATATGTAGGACATCATTGCAGTACCAACCCTATTGAGATGTTATTTTGTGGGGATTTTTTTTACTTTTGCACCTAAAACAACATGTATGATCTCACAGTTTTTTGTGGGTCAGAAATTCAGGAGTGGCTTAGCTCAAAGCTTCTGGCTCAAGGTCTCTCATGAGGTTGCAGTCAAGCAGTTGGCCAGAGTTACAGTCTCATATGAAGGATGGACTGAGGTCGAAGATCTGCTTCCAAGCCCACTCCCACAGTTGTTGGAAGTCCTTGGTCCCATTGGATTGTTTTGAAGATTAAAGTTTAGATGTGCAAAGTGTTAAGGGGTACTTGGCATGTAGTAAATGATAAATAATATCAATTGATATTGTTATGGATGTAAGTTTTAAAAATAACTATTTTTATGCATAGCACATTTTTTCTGGATGTTTCCAAAATACTCAGATCACTCAGAATTATTTTAAAAACTTGCTGTTATGACTGCAGACCAGCAGTCAGCAGATTATAAGGAATTTTAGAGATGTTTATCTCGGAGATAGTCGAATGTCCTGATTTCCCCCAAAAAACAGCAAAAAAGAAGGAGTTCAGAAATGATTCCTGTTTGTCACCTGTCTTCTCTCTATAAGAGATTATTACCACATTGTATATTTACAGGGAACATTAAATGTAAGCAGTAAGGATCTTCTTTTTTGTTTCAGTAGATTTAGAGCATGCAAGTTGAATCCTGTTACATGTATATATTGTACAGTGGTGAAATCTGGACTTTCAGTGTACCCATCACCCAGATCATGTGCATCG